GGGGAAGTGGCTTCTTGCCACGCAGGACAGCGGGGCCACATGGGAGGCCAGCTGGGAGCAGCCCCAAAGCAAACTCGAGGTCGTGGCTCTGCCCACGCTTTCAGCTGCATCCTGGGGCTCCCTGCCAGAGAGAGACAGAGGTTCCCAGCCATGCAGGAGGAGATGGGACACCTACACAGGGGAAAACCCACGGGGACACCAAAGGGCCAGTGGGAGCTCCCTCCCTGGGCAGGGGGTCCTCTGCAACATGGGTACACACACAATGCTCAGGCAAGAGGGCTTTAGGCTCACAGGCAGAACCGAGGGCAGCAGATGCAGGCAGAGGCTTCGCTCCCCAAGCCCCTCCATGCCCTGCCCTGGGACCCGGTCGTCCCCAGGCCAGACACCCACACTTGCACTGGTGTTCACATTTTAACTGGGTGCTGACCAGAGGTGGGAAAGGTCCTTATTTCTGCAAAAGGGTCTGAAGAACCCAAGATGAACAGATCTGTTTCCAGTAGGATAAAAAGGACGCTGGTGAATATAAGCACAAAGCTTGCCTCTGACTCACTGAAACAAGGCTTTTTTTCTGAGGTTTATTCAGCCCTGTGGCTCTCTCCTGAGTGCAAATGGCGATGAAAGTGCCACCACGTGTCCAAGATCTGGGCAGCGACAGGCAGAGCCAGGGCAGGACTCGGGGTGCTCTCAGCCCCAGCTCACTCCATCAGCTGGGATACAGCTCCAGGGGGATTTCCTGTGGGAGCATATCCCTCGATGCCCTGGGCATGGGGACACACTGCTGGGCAGTGCTGCCACTTGGGAACGAGGGGACATACAGCACATCCAGGCTCGCAGCAGGCAACGGTAGCATCTCCTGGCCACTGGTGCTCCAGTACCACCGTTTCTTGTGAGCTGAAGCCATGCTGGGGCTTGTGGCCTGCTAGGTGGGCAGCACCGGCCGGCACTCGAGGTCCAGCACGAGGTGATGCACGTGGGGCGCATAGGACTTCACTGCCTCGACGTGCAGGATGCTGGTGCGCCATGGCTGCCCATGCAGCTCTGCCAGCAGCCCCCCTGGCCACTGGTGCTCCAGTACCACCGTTTCTTGTGAGCTGAAGCCATGCTGGGGCTTGTGGCCTGCTAGGTGGGCAGCACCGGCCGGCACTCGAGGTCCAGCACGAGGTGATGCACGTGGGGCGCATAGGACTTCACTGCCTCGACGTGCAGGATGCTGGTGCGCCATGGCTGCCCATGCAGCTCTGCCAGCAGCCCCCGGATCTGTCCCGCTGTGGCTTCAGCCCACCTCTGCCACTCAGGTCTCATCCTGGCCCCCAGCGTCTCCTTCCCACTGTCCTTCGTTGAGTGCTGTGCCTCTCCATCAGAGCCAGCTCCCTCTGGAGACCCCCGCTCAGCCTGCAGGACTGGGGTCTGCGGCGGGGCTGGTGCGGGGAGAGTCTCCACGTTGTGGTGGATGTGGAGAACCCCACCCGTGCCCTTCTTCAGGACGCGGCAGGCCACCGGCCAGCCTTCCTCCGAGCTGGGAATCAGCCCCAGGTTCACCCGGTCTGCAACGTCCCACAGCTCCAGCTGAAAGGAGAGGGGAGGTGAGGGGAATGCTGCGTGGGGACGGGGTTTTCACGGCTGGGTGGCACTGCTCACCTGCCGGCTGTCCCCATGGTGAACGCGGCAGCGGTCCTGCACGCCGTTCAGCGCCAGGTTCCTCCGCAGGGCCTCCACGGCATGGCTGTTCCACTCGCAGGCATGGGCGGAGGGGGGCGCTGCGTGG